TGCAAAGTGGTGCATTCGGGAATTCGTTCATTATCACCGAAAGCGTGCCCTTTTCCAACCATTCCGGATGATATTTTGATAATTTCTTACCAGTTAGCAAAATACCATCCAGTTACTTGAAATAAACCTATGGCGTTCAGAAGAATCAAATTTATGTAAATATTCCCTTCAAGCTGTTGAACTCCAAAAAAGATACCATATGTTCCGTATCCACCGCTGAACCTACGAAAAATATTAGCGAATGTATCAAATATTAAAACAATACTACCTGTGATAAATTAACGGCATCTCCTTTACTGTCCCAGATGTGTATTTTGACAATAAATGTCACTTTTAAAATGATGTACCAAGTCAAACTATTTGAAAAACCAAAAACTGATAAAAACGTTCAAGAGATGAACAGTGAAAATAGGTTTAAACCTGTTTACAGAACATAATCCAGGAATCGAATAATAGATAAAAATAACAAATTAGTTCGCATTAAATGATTATACTACAAACTTATGGAATAAAAAATATTTTTCCATGATTTGTTTACGATTATGGTCAATAAAGACATAAATAGCTGCATTTTTTTCTTTTTGTATTTTGCAAGACAATGTTAATAAATTTATTGTGTATTTTATTTTTGAATTAAAGCTTCTTTTCTTTTTTCTGTTTATTTATTAGTTTGGGGAGGGGGCTTTTCTGCATCAAATGAAACAAAACATTATTTGTTAACATGATATTGACGGCAGATAATATTTTGTTTTTGACATTCTTGATAATAATTCTTAGATGCCAAAAAATGGATAGATGACGAGGAAGATTTAACAAAATTTTAGAGTTCATTGAAAATACATGGACAATTTCTATCTAGAAACTTATACATGAATTTTTAACACTGAAGTCAATCATAATATTAGAAGTGTGTACACTTACCAAGCAACCATTAACAAAAGTGTTATCTTTAAAAGTCGAGGATTATCTAATAGGTCTAGAATACTATATTTCTTCTCTTCAGATACCAAATCTTCTACTTGTATCACTTCTGCGTGAAATTTGTCATAATCTGGTGGCTCTTTATTATTCATGCTTGCTATTGTTTTAATCACATCGTATGCTTTCTGAATTTTCCAATGTGTCACCAACCATCTAAAGCTTTCTGGTACAAACCTTTAAAATATTGTTCATGTATGAGTCAGACAGAGAAACATTTATGAGAGATGGCTAAAATTATAGTTTGTAAATATTTACGTTGGAAAACAATAACTATTTTAAAAAAATAAAACAAATTAGTTTTTCTTAAATTGTTTAACATTTCACAGCGGTATAACATGTAACTTTAATTATTCTTCCCTTAGTTTATCTATTTTGTATTTACATTGTATCATAGATCAAATTTATTTGTTCAGTGTATGTTCACTGGTGTTAATATGTCTTTTGATTGAGTTAAGCCATTTCAATTGATATTTTATAGTGTGTCTTTTTATGTTGTGATGTTACACTATTGATTCAGATAAGGGTGAGGGTTTGGTTACATTAAAACGTTTAAACCCGCTGCAATTGTTTGCACCTGTCCTAAGTCAGGCATCTGATGTTCAGTAGTTGTCGTTTGTTGATGTGGTTCATAAGTGTTTCTCATTTCTCTTTTTTTATATAGATTAGACAGAAATTATATAAAAAAACGTTTACGACAAAAAATGATCGCAAACCAAAATATTTATATTTTTTGTCAAATTACCAGTTTTTTCGACGTCAAGACTTACCAAATATACATAATTTAAGTTAGATATTACCTCAATAAAACATGGAATACACCTGGGAACATTGTAATTCTTAATTTCACCCTGCATTGCAGAAAAGAGATATTTTTCCCATGAAAGGAATATGACCGTGTCAAAATATGATTTCGTGAACATTTAGGATTGAGAACGATGTTGTCAGCAGTACTATTAAATTATGGCAAATCATAACAATAATGGAATAACGGCTGATATATCAGGACAAAACGAATCAATATGTTTTGTAATGTAGCTAGACACAAACTCTATAGACAAGAGACGAAATATATCAAAGGGATATCTAAACTCATAAATCTAAACGTACTGATGATGCCATGTTTAAAAACGAAAAACGATCATAAATAACAGTATACAAAACACAACATAGAAATATAGGTCTTTTCTAAATTATGCGAGAGGAACTATCTCATCAACATCAATTACTTGCATGTGTACATTTTGTAGAACATATATATTATTTCAATCACACAATGTTTTCCTTTCATGAGTACTTTATATTGAAAGCATACGCTTAACTCACCAAATAATACCTATAAAATATGGAAAAACCGTGAGAGCAATGCCTATCTGGATGTATCGCCAATCATGCAGCCACCAACAAAGACATGCATAAAGCAATCCAAACAGTTCTCTACATGGTAAAAATCTAAGCATAGCTCTTGATTGTCGTGGTGTGAACTCGATAACAAAGGTGAAATTCAAAGAGGTAGTAAATCCACACCCAAAACCAATAAAAAATCTTAATACTGCAAATATTTCCCACGTGGATGGAAAAGCAGCCGCAGTGTTAAGTGATATAATTGCAAACAATGCACAAACGTATGTACGTTTACGTCCAATAGCGTCTGCAACGTGACCAGAAACAAATCCGCCAGCTATCAAACCTCCCATTTGTAATGTTGTAATGGTGGATGGAACCCAACTCTTATCGCATACCAAGTCCCACTGAAATAAATAAATAGAACCCCTGACATGATTTGTAACATTATATATCTGAAATTTGTCCTTAATAATCTAGGAAATAAAAGAGCAACTATTACAAAAATTACAAAAAATCATCAAAGATACCAGGCTTACACATTGGTACGCCAGAAACGCATTTGGTCTAAATGAAACTAATCAGTGTCACTCAGATATCAGTTGCAGGGTTAAATCAAAAACGAAATTGAAGAGCACTAAAGATCCAAAGTTCCGAACAGGTTAAAAAAGTCGACTTTATATAGGTTTAGCTGTTCTGTTGTGGTTTCTTTTGGTCATATAGCTTCACAAGTATTTATACATCTATGATTGCAAATTATTTAGTTTTGAGCGTTCTTTATGATGATATTCCAGAAAAGTGCTTAAGACGCAAACAATTTGAAAAGAGTCATTTTCATTTTATGTATCATGTGTATTGATAACAATCGGCAAAGGTAACTATTGAAAAATTTACTGTTTGATTGGATGTTCGTCTGTGAAGTTTTATACATGCGTATTTATTTCTTGTTTCAGATGTTGAGACAGTTATGGACAAAATGCATGAGATCTATTGCGGAAAGAAGTTTCACTACATATAAACCCTGAGATAAATTACCTCTTACAGCAATCGTTTTATTTATGCCCCTTTAAATAGTTGTTTGCTACAGACAGAAAAGTAATAAGCTTTCCCTGATCGATCTACAACAATGAATCTGGTTGAATTACCTACCAGGAAATGCTGTAATCACTTGTTACTACATTTCGAGACGTTAAACAAATACAATTGGCAACATTGAGTACTGTGGAAGGTAAGAATGTTTATGTTGATGAATCACATTTATAACTGTTTTTAAAGGTTGATTGACGATAGTTTTGGTTCTTCCGATCAGGAAATTACAGATGTTTTGTTGTCAAAGAGTTTGGTCTCAAATGTACAAGATTTATGATATTTCAGAACAAATGAAAATCAATGAAGATAATGAAAATACACTTGTATTATGCTCTATGTATGTACACATCCGGACATGTAGTAGTGACTTCAAAAATATAGCTGTAGCATATGATATGCATGGCTAAGTAAAAAAAACAATTCTCTCCTGCCTCAGAAAACTTAGAAAGCTATAGAAATAAAAGCATTTAAAAGACAGAACAGAAATAGAACAAAATATCAGATGGCATTTCGAAATAACTTTAGAAACTTTATTTTACAATGTTTTGATCGCGTTTTTATTTGTTATATAACAAGATTCATATAAAAAGGAGACGTGGTTATGATTGCCAATGAGACAACTATCCACTAAAATTCAAATGAAGTGGGTTTAAGCAATAATAGCCCATCGTACGGCCTTCAATAATGAAATAGCATATGCTATGCATCACTAAGTAAAAAAACAATTCTCTCCTGCCTCCCAACTGACTCTGAAAAGCTTCTTTCTTTCGTCACAAATTTGTCAAAGAAATGAAGTATTCTATTGTTAGAGCAGACCCCAATTTGTATTTGCGCTCACTTGTTTAGTCAAATGCTGAATGAATTTGACCAAAACCGAATACAAAAAGTGTCATAACATTGGAAATACCGAATGATGTTCAAAGGTGCACTCGCGAATTACCTTGTGTATAGTATAATCAGGAACGGACTTGAAGAAAACATGTGAAAGAAACCCCAGATTTGGTTAATATAAAAAAAAATGTAATTCAAGAGCCCTTAGAAAGTGTTTCTAAAAGAATCATTAGATACGCCCAAGTGCAGAAAACTTAGAAAGCTATAGAAATAAAAACATTTGGAAGACAAAACAGAAATAGAACCAAATATCAGATGTCATTTTTAAAAAACTTTAGAAACTTTATTTTGCAATGTTTTGATCGCGTTTATATTTGTTATATAACAAGATTCATATAAAAAGGAGACGTGGTTATGATTGCCAATGAGACAACTATCCACAAAAATTCAAATGAAGTGGGTGTTAGCAATAATAGCCAATCGTACGGCCTTCAGCAATGAGAAAATCCCGTAGTCAGCTTGAATATAATTCACCAAGACTAATATTAACTAATATTTAATTATTAGTAGAGCAGATTTTCAACCCATCGGAAAACATTGTTAACCTGGATTCGCCTAGGTAACAATCTGCTTGTTCCCCCTCTCGGTTATATCTTATTTATACAACTGCTGAAACTGCTTAATACAGTATATATGAACTAAACATTAACTTTGATTTAAAAAGGATCGTTCTTCCATACCAAGTCTAAGTAGCATACCTCTGAAACAACAGTGTTCATACCGGGATCATAAAGCCTCCTTTTACACAGTACAGAATTATAACTATCTTTAAATTCGCATATTTTCAAGTCTGAAATATTATCTGATTTAGTAAAATTCAGGCCATCTAATGTAGTCAGGTCACACCGCCAATTCGGAACAGCCGCACCAAATGCCATCATCAAATTACTCCAATTATGTGATATTTTGCTTCCAAATAGAAGAAGTATTAGTATCCATTGAAAGGGTCCAAGTCCTCCAATATTGTCTATAGTTTCTTCTAAATATTCATTGAGGTCTGTCATTTTTATCCTGATCTAAAACAAAGAAGAGTTATATACTCAGTCAAACTATACAAGTTTTGATCAACATTTCAATATTAACGAAAAATTATAAGATAAGAATACAATGTATGGGTTTTGATAATTGAACAACTATTCACAAAAGATCAAATGACAAAGATCGGAACAATTGGTTATTCATGGTTTATACCTAACCTTAATATGTCTTGGTATTTGAAAAAAAGATAAAATGTATATAGTTTATCGTTCTTGAATTTAGTATATCGACTTTCAGCCTACAACCGATAAGGGCGTATATAGAAAAAGTCTTAAAAGATATCCCTTATAGCTCACAGGAGCAAACTCGCAAAGTATCTACTGCCTCATACCCTGCAGGAAATTACTTTAAGATAGTTGAACGAAGTCTCCCACCAGATTGCAAATGCAGTAGAAATGTACGTCACATATTTACCAAAATACAAATCTGTTATAGTCAAATAGGTAACCCGTGTAATGACAAAAATAGTTCATGCATTGATAATGCATTTTTTTTTAGATTGAAGAGTCAGCGATACAACATTTACTTGAATTTATTTGATGTTTAGTGGATGATGAGTGGAAACATTCTAGCTTATTTGAAGGGCTCAGATGAACAACTGAAAACGTGACAAGCCACGATACACCTGTTGCATGCACTACAAACCAGTAAATGTCTGAAATGGCCTTTATCTGTACTTGACTGTACTGATTTTTACTCGACCAGTCTGAATTGGTCTGAAAATAACTTGATATGACTCGACTGTAGTCTGAACCATACGTAACAGTCTGAACTTGTATTCGACCTTTACTCGACCAGTACTTAATCGTTTTATACGCGTCTGAACCATACTCGACGTAGTCTTAACCATTCTCGACCAAGTCTGAACATGCTCGAGCTAGTCTGAACCATACTCGACCTATTCTGAACCATACTCGACAAAGTCTTAACCAGTCTAGACCTATTTTTTGTATCTATCTATTGTATTTCATCAATTTAGGAACCATTTGTAACAACAGCTATTTCCCCTTGCTAGAAATTTGAACAACAATTTAAAATCCAAAATGTATTTAATATAGCATTGAAACCAAAATTTCACCTATTAAACATAATATAATCATCAACACTTATACATATATACATGTATATATGTACAATGTATATTACCTAAACTCAACTAAATTCAAAACTAATATAAATATAGTTAACATATATATCTTATTTAACTGAGTAAATTGATCGGAATGTGAATGACAACATAGACCTAAAATTCTAATTGGTCTATCCCGTTTAACACAGCCATGACATTTGTGCGGGAATTTCTTCCATTGAAATCGTAATATAATTGACTGTGGATTATTGCTATTTTTAGATGTAATGTAATAGGATTTAATGTGATATTATTTGTCTCTTCTTCTATAGTACATAGTTTGACGTCAGGTTTGTGCACATGAAGTTTCTAGTCTAGTCAGAACTGAAGTATGGATGTACTCATTCTCAATTTTATGTACTGCATATCCCATCTTATCGTCCTTCCATACGTCACCCTGCTCAGTCGCTCCGTAATTCTCGTATCACGGCTTTGAGACGAGAGCAGGCATTATCAGCAACGTCATAATGTCTGAGAAGAAGTTATCAGCGACGTCACAATGTGTGAGAAGACGTTATCAAGCTTGCTTTCGTCTAGCGTAAAACTATCTTAGGGAGGTGAAAAAGCCAGTAATAGAACGATAAACAGATGACCAGGTTTTCTTCGTATAGATGTCGTAAAATATCAGCCGCTCGACACAATGTGATTCATTTTAGCTCGTTTGCTGCGCTCATTCGCCAAAAAGGTTCATTGTGACTCGCTGGCTGACATTTTACGATATCAATGTATAGAAAAGCCGATAATCTAAACATATATATATATATGTCAACCAAAAGTTATCAGCGATGTCACAATGTGTGAGGAGATGTTATCAACCTTGCTTTCGTCTAGCGTAAAAACTGTTTTGGGGAGGTGAAACAGACCATCAATAGAACGATAAACAGATAGTCGTTTTTTTCGTATAGATATCGTAAAATATCAATGTGTAGAAAAGCCGATAATCTAAACATATATATATATATGTCAACCAAAAGTTATCAGCGATGTCACAATGTGTGAGGAGATGTTATCAACCTTGCTTTCGTCTAGCGTAAAAACTGTTTTGGGGAGGTGAAACAGACCATCAATAGAACGATAAACAGATAATCGTTTTTTTCGTATAGATATCGTAAAATATCAATGTGTAGAAAAGCCGATAATCTATGCATATATATACATATGTCAACCAAACAATACAACTGATTTACACTACAACTGTTGAAAAGACCTTTATGTATATACATCTAATCTCATTCATTCTAGTCCGTTCAACTGACTAAATCAACCGAATCGGTGTACATTTCGTGGACTCTTACCAAAAATCGTCATGGACTATTCCATATACCAATATCTTTTAGCCATTTAGGGGTCGTTTGCATTCAAAGTCAAGTTATAAATGTATGTTACTTAGTGGGTTTATTTTGCGAAAAAAGAACTCAATTTCCTGATAAACTTTCTTAATACAGAAACATTATATATAGTTAACGTTTTCTTTATATTTTGCTGTATCAAAATGACCTAAATTTAAAGGACAGTATATAGCCCTAAAAATGGTATATCACGTTCTACACATGAAATTTACGGGGGAAAGACTGCCATTGGAAAATATCACCACTGCGACAATAAATGTCTTTTAATTTGATCGCCTTCCACTAAAGTCATTCAAGTAGAACGGCTAACATTATCAACATTTGATGTCGGGTTTGTCCACAATTAGGAATATATATAATATAGATATACTGTTGAGTCTGTTCCCAGATGCCTGAGATGGACTTCAATTGTCATTATTTATTGAAAATAAGTGGATCCATCCTTTAGAAAATTTGTTCATATGGTAATGGATCCGCCCCCCCCCCTTTATTAGTGAAAAAGGCTACATCTTTTTTCCCTTTTTTTAAAACAGCAAAATAAGGGATATTCCTCATTTTGTTTAGGGGGGGGGTTCCAACCTGTTAATTAGTTGAATTGTAAATCAGGACATTACGTTTCTCAATTGAATTGTTTCATACTTTTCATGTCGGGACTGTTTTCCACATTTTTGAAGGCTGTATGGTTGCCTATAATTGCTTTGTTATTTGAACCTCTGTGGATAGTTGTCTCATTGGCAATCCTACCACATATTCTGATTTTTATATGGATTGCAGACTTGAATCAAAGTTGAATATGCTGCAAACAACTTCAAACAACCTACAATTTACTACAACTTATTTACCATATAACTGTTGAGCAGAACTATATATATTTGATCTCATTCCAGTCCTATGAGTCCTTATACCACTATCAATCAACAGAACAAATGCAAATAATTATGATGTCTCAGTCCGGGAGGCGGTTCGATAAAATTGCTCCCCTTGTTTATTTCGCTCTCCTGTCAAATCATGTAATTTTGCTACCTCCAATGGTAGACGCGACAACGATGGGTGTCGTCAGGACAGGTACGATTATAGTATCAGTTAGGAATTAGACGATCCCCATTGGTATAGGCGAGTTGTTTAATAGTTGTTGCTTTAGGATAAATGCATGTTTTAGATTAATTCATAATCAGGAATAGCTGGAAGGGAAAGAAACGTGTTGCTACAAGAACCCGGAAACCGATGGTAGAAATTTTTTTTTAAATCTAGAGACGATCTTTCTGAGTGTGCCACCTACACATTCAAACATGTAAACAACCACAGTATCCCCTATCTATCTAATGTGTTTTCATAATTATGTGATATAGGGCAAAAAAAGGTAGCAGTTTTTTGTGTCCTGTAGTTAAGCATTTCCAGGGGAGATAATGTTATTTTTTACGGGTGTGTTTGATAGGTTTGTTGCACTGTAACATTATATAATACACACTCATAAAGTTGCTAGAAAGCGCCTCTCACACACAATTAACTCAATCTCAATTATTATATTTAACGGGTTATTGTAGTCCTATAATATAAGACTTCGGAGGTTCATATCATCTACATTCAACGTTTTTTATCTGATTTTTTTTACCATCAATGTTGAATCGTTCAACATTGATACATTGTAGTAAAAAAAATCTGATAAAAACGTTGAATGTACTAGTAAATGATATTAACCCCAGAGGTCTTATATTATAGGACTATATATATAAGACTTCGGAGGTTCATATCATTTACATTCAACGTTTTTTGTCGGATTTTTTTTACTTTCAATGTTGCACGGTTGATAGTAAAAAAAAATCCGATAAAAATGTTGAATGTAAATGATATGAACCTCCGAAGTCTTATATTCAACATTGATAGTAAAAAAAAAAAATCCAATAAAAACGTTGAATGTAAATGATATGAAATTCAACATTGATGGTAAAAAAAAATCAGATAAAAACGTTGAATGTAAATGATATGAACCTCCGAATTCTTATATTATAGGACTACTGGTTATTGGTTCTTTATTCTAACTAAATGTTTTTGTGGTGTATATTACAAAAAAGGGTGGGGGGTGCTTTAAAAACACCGAAATACCTTAACAATCCTACAATACCAGTTTACAGAATAAGAGAGATTTTTCGTATTCTAAACCTACCATTTCTCACATATTTGTTAGATATGTTGAAAATATAGCCAAATGTTAAATACGTATATCCATCCCCTCTTTTTCAATTCATTAGTT